TATATATTTTTTTATATATTTTTCATTTTATATGAATACATTTTTTAATTAATTAATTATAGCCTACGGACATACCAGTCTGAAAGTGCCTGATCTCGTCAGATCTCAGAAGTCATACAGACTTGGGCCTGCTTAGTACTTGTATGGGAGACCAACTAGGAACCTCAGGAAGCCGTATACTTTTAATTAAATTTATTTTTTTAAATATACACTTTTATCCTTCAATATTTTATAACTGCTTTTCAAAAGCATTTTTAAATTAATTGTTTTTTTTTTAAACTTATCAATTTTTTCCAATTCATCAATTATTTTTTGAACCTCAGATTTTCATGCTCTCAGTTCTATTCCTATTTTGTTTCACAATTATATTGTTCACATTTATATGGATGATAAGTCTTTTTGTGATTGCACTTTTTTGTGATTGCACTTTGTTATGCACCTTTCCCACTGGGACACTCTCTGATAAATAATTACCACTGTTGATTCTAATTATTATTACATTTTATTCATGTTTTATCTATTATATTGTGTTTGCCAAAACTACAATAAGAGTAAGTTTTGAGATATGCCAATTAATAGTTCTCTCTTTTTATCCTTTTTAGGCAATATTGCTTTAAATCATAACTAAATTTAAATCTTAATCAATATTAATATGCTGTGTATCTTTGTGATTTTGTGATTCTATCAATGCCTTTTTGCTGTTCAATTTTGCCATGTTATTTTTTTTATTTTTTTTTCTGCTGTGTATCTTTGTGATTTTGTGATTTTATCAATGCCTTTTTGCTGTTTAATTTTGCCATGTTATTTATTTTTCTGCCATGAACAATCCTTTAAAGAGTCTTAAATGAGTCTTTAATGACAGCTGTAGATTTGAATCCAAGTCCCATTAAACTTTATGTCAAGATATTTAGTTAGTTTAATTGAACAATTGGACTTTTTCAATTGAATTAGTGATAAACCAATCATGAGGGATTGTTGCCCTATTTAAGCCCACAACCAAGAAGAAGGTTGTGAGCACGTCCTGAGGAAGCCGATTGGCGAAACGCGTTGATGTCATACAAAGGGGGAGGAGCTTACAGACCACGGAGTCCGGAGGCGTTTGTTTTCTGGCAGCAGACAATACACGAGGAGATTCTCTAGCAGCCGAACAGGAAGAACGCCGGACGAGCAGCCTACCACCCTAATGATTGAACTCTGATAGTGAGTTGACATATATGTGTCAAACTCACCACCTTATCTAGTAAGGGGCTTGTCACCCTATTTTTTATCATCATTTTTTATTATTCTATTTTATGTATATATGTACTGCTTTTTCTGCATGTGGCAGATAATAAATTTATGTCAGCTTTTTCCTATTGGGGTTTCACCAAATATTTCTTAAAGTGATACTTCACAATTTATGAATTGTTATAAATATATATGCTTATATATTTTTTATACAATCTGCACTATCATTGCTTTTTTTCCCTTTTTTCTTTACATATATACCATTATTGCTGGAAGTTACACTTAAAATCGAAACCAGTTTGTATATATATATACTCTTTCTTCTGTCTTATATATGGTATAAATTGCTCCTCACTAGCACATATTAAATCCAAGCGTTCACATACTTTTTCCACCTGCACTGTGAATGTTTACATGGTGTGTTCAATAAAAACATGGCAATATTTCATTCTTTGTGTGTTATTAGTTTAAGCAGACTGTGATTGTCTATTGTTGTGACTTAGATGATGATTGTGGAGGAACAGACGTCGCCACGTGTTCTTGGAGGGGGCTGCTTGCCCACCTCCTACCTTCTGACTATGGCCCTGGGATACATGGCATTTGAAAACACTATTTGTGCCCTGTGACAAAACTGGAGATTGTGCACAAATATGACTATTGTCCATATTTTTTATGATTCCCTTTGTTTATTGCACTGTTCCCCATGTGTTTCTTCTGTTGGTCCGGCTGGATAGACTACCAGACAAACTGTGGAGTTACTGGGTGGCCACCTTTTCATGTATCAGAGGCACATGGTGAGAACAATAGATGAAGCACATGGTGAGAACAATGGATGGCGGCCATTTTAACTCACAGGCACTGTTTGGACTTTTCTACACAGTGCCATCTCGCTGGTGTTTGGTGCACAAAGACATTCGTGCATTAGTTTTAAACTATACAACAGGGGACACATTATACAGTAATTATTTTTCATATAGCCTTTATATGTTCTGTGGAATCTGCATTAAACTGTATCTCCCAAACTACTGAACGGATCTGGGTGAATTTTGGATATGTGGTTCACCCAAATCAACCGGTTCCGAGGATATACTTGTTATGGGGTTATTACATGTTTTGGGCTCCCTGTGATATGCTTTATAATACTGTATGGCTCTGCTTGTGTTAATTATATGTGTTAAGTAATCATATCACAAGCAGAGGGGAGGGTTTTGTGTGGGAGTGTCTGTGTGTATTGTACGGATTGATTGGTTGTATTTCAAAACCCTGTGGGCAGTACTATGTTTGTGGATTGTGAATAAAATAGGCTGTATGTGCCAGTACAGTCAGTTCTGCTTGACCTCAAAACGAAGTGTCATCTTGTTATTGGGGGAATATGCTGATTGCCAGGAGTGTAAGCTGATTGTATGCTTTTCCTGTTCAGCTGCTTACAGCATTCATATGCTTGAGAGCATTCAAGGGCTTCTCTAGTTCGGTGGTTGTGGTGTCTGTGCAGTGCTTGTAGTCCTCAGGAAGCGCTAGGAGCATCCTTCAACGGAGGTACCCAGTCGGGGTGCCAGGTGATCCGTTACAATGATCAGATCACATTTTATGACCAATTTGTGCAGAAAGCCATATCATTCCAAAGGGTTCACATACTTTTTCTTGTAACTGTAGTGAGTTTTTTTCATACTATATTGTGTTTGAACGCTACATACTGTGTCAAATTATATACAATGTCAAAGATTAGTTTATATATAGGATTTTTGCACATTTATTGCACTGTGCTTCTCTAGCACAATAATAAACACAACTGTCTTCTGTTTTCGCTCCAGTGAATTTAACATAAACTTCACCCTTAGTTGTGTCCCTTGAAATTGTCAAACGACCCTGCACAGATGTGGCATAGCGTATAGTACCATCATGCCATATTCCTCCCAGCCACTCGAGACCTTTCCCTGGAGGCTGTCTGACCCATTGCACTGACCATACACTAGAACTGTCAGTAAGCGTTGCTCCAGTGACTTTACAGGTCAGCATCATATTGTCTCCTGGTTTCACAGCCCCAGGACCAGATTCTGAGAAGGATAACTGGGAAAAGACACCTGTAAATACATAAATATAGTTTGAAATGCAGTCTGAACTTTACTTGATAACTGAAATAATTGAACTTCACATCGCACTCACTTGTTATGGTCAAGAAAACACAAAGTGTTTAAAACTGTTATTCAGGAATTCAGCTCAGTATGATCTGACTGATCTATTTCTTCTCTGATGGTATTTCCTGGACATGTTGCCCTATTTACACAGGAAACTATTTGAATATATTTCCTTACACAATGAGCTAATTATCTTCATGATAAAAACAGCTCATGTTTCAGATTTTTAACAGCATTTACATGTTACATTAAAACATATCCTCACAATGTTTTTATTTAATCACATTGTAAAATAGACATATTTTAAAAATGCAAAACATATCTAACAACTATTCATACAAAAATAAATACATTTAGAATTAAGAATGTATTATTTATGGCATAAGCTAAGACAGTGATGGCGAACCTTTTTGAGCCTGAGTGCCCAAACCGCAATCCGTGACAACTCTTTTTTCCTCAAAGTGCCAACACAGCAATTAAACCTGAATACTGAGGTTTAAGTTTAGAAAAAACAACTCGTACAGTTGTCCGAACTAATTAACAACTTTTGTTTTAAAAGAAGAACACAACAGAGTTCAATGATACAAATTTTAAATAATGATATAAATAGATAAAATTAAGCTTATATTTATTAGTATCTCCAACAAATGCAATACATACACACAGACTGCTGAACACATTCACACACCAACTGCTAAATACATATACACACTGGCTTCTAAATACATACACACACACTGGCTACTAAATACACACACAGTCTGCTAAATACACACACACACACAGTCCGCTGAATACACATACAGACAGACTGCTTAATACACATACAGACAGACTGCTGAGTACATACACACAGTCTGCTGAATACACACACACAGTCTGCCGAATACATAGACTGCTGAGTACACACACAGACTGCAAAGTACATACACACAGACTGCAAAGTACATACACACACACTGCTGAGTACATACACACAGTCTGCTGAATACACACACACACACAGACTGCTGAATACATACACTGCTGAATACACACACAGACAGACTGCTGAATACACACACACAGAGGGTGCTATGGGGTAAGGGTGCTGTGTGGGTAGGGGTGCTGTGGGGGTAGGTGTGCTGTGTGGGGGTGGGTGCTGTGCTGTGGGGGGTAGGGGTGCTGTGTGTGTGAGGAGTGCTGTGTGTGTTGGGGTTGGGGTGCTGTGTGCTGTGCGGGGGTAAGTGCTGTGCTGTGTGAGGGGTGCTGTGGCTGTAGGGGTGTGGCTGTGTGGGGGTAGGAGTGCTGTGCTGTGTGTGGGGTAGGAGTGCTGTGCTGTATATGTGGGGGTGAGGGTGCTGTACTGTGGGGGATGTGGGTGGTAGGGGTGCTGTGCTGTGGGGGGTAGGGGTGCTGTGCTGTATGTGGGGGTAGGGGTGCTGTATGTGGGGTGGGGTGCTGTGGGTGGTAGGGGTGCTGTGCTGTGGGGATAGGGATTCTGTATGTGGGGGTAGGGGTAAAAATACATTAAAAAAAAGATATATTAATTCTGTATCCTCCCCCTCCCTTCCTCTTACCTTTGGTGAAGGAGGGGGGGCACAGCCATCCCCGGTGGTCCGGTGGTGGTAAGTATGTTTCTGGCAGCTAGGAAGCAACTCTCCTGTCCTCCCGTGCGATGCTGTGTGGAGCGTTGCCATGGCAACACACGGCAACGCTCCACACAGCATCGCGCGGGAGGACAGGAGAGCTGCTTCCTAGAGCCCTCCCCCTGTCCTCCCAACATGGAAGCAGAGTAGGCGCTTGCCATAGGTTCGCCATCACTGAGCTAAGACATAAGAAACTCAAACAAATATGAGAGGGCAGTGTTTTCATTTAAGATACTAAGGCACCCTGCAGAAGCTATAAATCCCTTTGCGCCCACTCCTCATAATTATTACATATCATGTAATATTTAAAGGGATATATAGAATTGCACTCTTCTGGACAGACATCTCAAGTGTTCCACTTGGAATTTTCTGAAGCCACATTTCTAACTTGGGTTACAGCCCACCACAACTGGGACTATTATTACTTTCACTTTCCTCATCTTATCTAGCTTCTCTTTCAGCCCTTGGTATTTGTCAAATTTTTCATGTTCCTTCTTCCTGATGATGTGGTCACTTGGTAGTGCCACATCTAGAATCAGATTAATAGACCATTTTTCTTAGTGATGACAATTATGATGGCCCTAATTATAGAATATTATGGACAGAAAAGACTAAAACAATCATACTTCCTGTTGAAACATACTCCCAGGTGATCACCAGGCCTCTGCCATAGACTTATAAAGTATAGTTATATCCAAACAGAGCTAGGGAAGATCAACCTGGCATGAATGCATGTCGGGCTGCCTGCCAGTCATGCATGTTGCCAACTAAGGGCGTACTATGCATACAGTGCCCTGAGCTTGACATAAATGTGTCTGTTTGCCAAGTCAGTTTTACCATAACTAATTGTAATTTAAATATTTAAAAACAGAAACAGTAGATGCCCTGCTTCCTCATCAAGCTTCAGCGCACAGGCTCTCTGACACAATTGCTGGTCCCATTACCCCCCCATTTGGACTGGTGGGGGTTATCCCGGTCCCAACTGGAGCATTCGAGGTTGCACTGAGAGGGAAATCACAACTTACCCTGCACTCAGAATCCCACTCTCTGATGATAAATTGGCCGCCAACCATATCCTCAAGAGATCCTCCATGCTGTCTAGTCTGTGAGTAGATTCCCTAATGCTGGAGAGGAATAGCCTCTTTTCCTCCCAACCAAAACTCACAAGTTGTAGTTGGGGGCTCTAATATTATATAATTTGTGGAGGGATATATTATCCCCCTCTAGTCCCCACCCATTGGTGGCAGTGGGAGACCAAGCAATATTAAAAGTATGTCTATCCCCAAAACTACTGCCAAAATTGTAGCCTAAGTGGCTAGGGGAACCTAATAAAAATAGTTACCGTACATACCTTCCCTTTTCCCAATAATAGTAAAAAGGTAATTAATTCCTGTGAAATAAAAGTTATACTTACCAACAAATGTCTTCTATCTTCTTACTTAATTTGTATAGAAAAAAAGGGGACGATCTGCTAAACAAATAACAAGAACAGTGCATAGCGCATAACTGTGTATATGAATAAACCAAATGTGTAGTTTTCAAATGGCCACTCACACTTTCGTTGAAATATAAATGCCTTGGAACTGAATTGCTCTTTTCAGCAAAAATGCTCTTTTCAGCATAAATGCCCTTCCAGGAATGATTCTTCCACCACTTTTAAACTCTCATGGAATAGTTAAAAGGTGTGTGCTCAAAGAAAAAAACAGAACTTGTAGTACATATTTAAAAATGTAGAAAAAATAATTTAATCACTTACATCTAAATATAAAACAATGGATGTATTCTCACTGTCACCACCAGGGGTCCTACGCGTTTCGTCCGTATGTAGGACTTCCTCAGGGACTTCAGTGACCAGAAATGACAGCATACAAATGAACAATAAACAACCCTTCCCTTCACCACCCTTTATACCTCCCCCAATGTCCACAAAACTCTTTATCCGAATCAGGTGCTTGAAATTTCAGTTCGACGGCCGATATCTATGACGTCATCCACATGCGTCCGTCGGTTTCGCATGCGTTCCACCATGCGTTCCACTGCCGAAACCCGGAAGTGCTTTATGCCTTCTATGTATGAATCACGTATTTCTATTCCAAGTCCCTCTCATTAGAGGCAGATTTAATTTACATGGATCGGAGGCAAGAAGAAAGGGGGGGGAGAGGGAAAAGGGAGGATTATACACTTCAAACAGTACTACAAGATTCCAAATATATATAACTAACACAGCCTCATTATACTTGATAACAAAAAACTGTATACACTATATAGTATATATGAATCTAATTAAAATCGAATAGAGATATATAATAGTAAATAAACAGACTAACATAACAAAAAATAACAAAAATAAATACATAATGTAAAAAATATAATGTAATATAAAAAAAATAAAAAATAAAAAATATAAAAAATAAAAATAAATAAAAATAAATAAAAATAAGAATAAAAATAAAAATAAAAATAAAAATGAAAAATAAAATAAAAATATAGCACACACACTTATAAGGTGGATAAAATGTGATATCCCAATTTATGTTGCATTTTTTCAAATATTCCAAAAGATATAGAGTATCCATACATTATTATTTTTCTCCTCTTTTTTCCTTTGATGAGATATTGAAAACATCCAGAAAAGGAGATTTATTAATTTTAACGTTATCATTGGATAAAATTAAGAAATTAAATTGAATTATAAAATATAGGATAGAATTCCATAAATGTAAAAAATAGAATTCGATCCATCCCCTGTCCTCTTTTTTCTTTTAGTGGAATGTCAAAGACATCCCACAAAGAGCTGTTGGTTGATTTTAAAGTTGTTCTTGATATAAAAAATAAAATAGATTATATTAAAAAAAATTAAATAAAATTTGATGAATGGAAAAAGTATACTTATGATTGAAATTTAATTGAATTCAAAAAACGTCAAATCTCAGAATGCAGATTAAAAATCTGTAAACACAAATCCGACGCAGTTGGAATCCAACAAATCCCAGTATATATAAATCTGATATAATGAGAATTCATTGAATTTCAGAATATATAAAAGGACAATTTGTCCATCCCAAAACCCATTCAAATTTAATGATACAAAAATATTCTACTATGATATTTATGATGTGGAAAAATTATTACCTATACTATAAAAAAATATATAGAAAAAATGCAACATTTACACTAATGGTGCAAAAAGGTACCTACATAGTATTAATTTTCAAAAAAGCTCCATAGGTCTATATCCAAATTCAACCCATGTGGTTGCAACGTTTTTAATTTGTTTATCCAAAAAGTCTCCCTTTGCGAGAGCTTTTTCATTAAATTGCCCCCTCTCCAATAAGGGTCAACCCGCTCTATACCCATGAAGGAAAAATTATTCCAATTAAATTTTCTGCAACTAGTGAAATGAATCGGTACTATATGTTTTGTTGACTTTTTCCTAATATTATTTTGATGTTCCAAAATTCTCTCTTTCAATTTTCGACCCGTTCTTCCCACATACTGTTTCCCACATGGGCACTGTAGCAGGTAGACCACATACCTCGAGTTGCAATTTATATTAGATTTAACTTTAAATTTCTCTTTGGTAGTTGTACTTATAAATTCTTTTTTCTGTATATACCTCTGGTTCTTGCAAGCCTTACATGAATTACAAGGATTAAAACCTTTAATATTAGAAAGTGTACCTTTGCGTCCGATTTTTAATGCGTAGCTTGGAGCTAATATATTTTTCAAATTTTTAGTTTTTTTGAAAATTATTGGTGCTTTTTTTGGGAGTACCTTTCCTAATATGGGGTCTTTGCACAAAATATCCCAATGTCTGTTTAAAATCTTTTTTATATTCCAATGTTGTGTATTATATTGTGTAATAAACGAAAACTGATAATCTTTTTTTGGGATTGTTTTCTTTGGATTTGGTTTCAAAAGACTTTTCCTATCTTTCTTTTCAATTTCTTGAATTTCTTTCTCCAATGGTGCTAATTCATATTTTTTAGTTAAAAATTTATTTTTGAAGTGTTTGGCCTGTTCATGGTAATCTATATCTCTTGAGCAATTTCGTCGTATTCTTGTTAGTTGGCTTCTTGGGATGGTTTCCAACCATTTATCATGATGACAGCTTTTTCTGTGTATGTAACTGTTACCATCAGTTTTTTTAAAATAACATTTAGACTGTATAGTCTGATTTTCAACAAAAAAGCAGACATCTAAAAAATTAATTGTAATAGGGTCTATCTCACATGTGAATTTTAAGCCATAATCGTTATTACCAATGTAATCCAAAAATAACTGCAGTTCTTTATGTGATCCTTGCCAAATCATTATAACGTCATCAATAAAACGTTTCCATAGGACCAGGTTCGCTACCCAGCCATGCCCCCTCCATATGTGGTTGGATTCCCAATCCCGCATATATATGTTGGCATAGCCGGGGGCGAACCTGGTCCCCATTGCCGTACCAGTGATTTGGAGATAGAATGAGTCATCGAAGAAAAAATAATTGTGCTTCAAGATGTAATGAATGCTTTTAAGTATAAAATTTCGAAAATCTGGTGAAACACTTTCATCTCTCTCCATGACCCACTCTACTGCAATCAGACCCTTGTGATGTTTAATGATTGTGTAGAGAGATGAAACATCTATAGTTACCCAAATGAAATCGTCTTTCCATTTTATATCTTCTACTATTCTTAAAATATGTGAGGTATCTTTCAAATAAGAGGGTGCCTCTTGGGCATATTTTTGAAGATTGTAATCTACAAATTCTGACAAATGTGCAGATACCGAATCAATGCCACTAATAATTGGCCTTCCCGGAGGTGTGATAGGATTTTTGTGTAACTTGGGCAAAAAATAAAAATAAAAAATAGGAATTATGGGAAAATTGTTAAATAAAAATTCCATATTATTTTTAGAAATGATGCCTTCCTCAAATGCCTGGTTTAACAGGATTTTGAGAATAGAGTTAAATCTTTTTGTTGGATCTTCTGTGAGTTTTGTGTAAGTATTTGTTTCTCCTAAGATGTTATATGCTTCCTCCATATAATAGTCTTTGGTCATAATGACTATGGCTCCACCTTTATCGGCCTCTTTTATAATTATAGACTC